TATTTCCATCATATGTCTATGAATGATATTGGAAGAAATTATGTTACTAAAGTTTAATACAATTAAGATAAGGAATTAATATTTGTCACTAGAATGGGATCATTTGGTGTTATTAGAGAAGATGTATTTGAAACTCATCATCTTGAAGTATTGCCATATTATACTAAATCTGGTGTATAGAATATGAGATAAAATGTATATATTCATTTAATCATTTAATATAGGATTTAGGAATGTATGAATTGTCATGTTTGAATAAATAAGAATTAATGTATTTATATAAAGAAGATGCATTCTGGAATCCTAAATTAAAAACATAATTCCTCTCAAATCATACTCAATTAATATCCAAATAATACTTTGGATTAAAGAGGTAAAATTTATTTTTAAATAATATTTTTAGAAATGAAGAAGAAGAATACCAGAAGACTTAAACTATAGGAGAATTGCCCTTAAAAGATTTACCTGCACCTTGAATTATCAATAATAAATACAATATAACAATAATAATATATATATTATAAATGAACGTTGATATATAAAAAGGTAGAGAAAAACCTGTTAGAAAAAACGGCTTAGTTAATGGTCTTAATCCTTACCAAACTATAAGTTGGATTTATACTGTAATTGATATTATTATTGCTTACATATTTTCATTTTTATTTGAAGAACATGGAATTCATGTATTATTATTTCTTATTCAGGAAATTTTGCTTATATTATTAACTATTATTGTTACTACTATTAGTTATACTTGTCTAAAAGCTACTTTGATAGATCCAACAGATTCTATTGTTAAATAAGAAATATTATATAAAAAATAAGGGTAAAAATAGTGATTTATACTAAAGTAAGGAATTTACAACCGATATTAAATCATATTGTCTAGTTTGTTAAGCACATGTATAAGATAAAACTAAACATTGTTGGAGTTGTAATAAGTAATTTGAGATTTATATTAGATGTGTATCATTGTTTGATCATCATTGTATATGGCTTAATAATTGTGTTGGTGATTAAAACTATTCATACTTTTTTATTTTAGTTATTTTTTTGGTGATATTGAAAATATTCAAATTAATCTTAGATATAATTTTATTATATTATGAAGATGATTTATTGATACTAGTTTATATTTGTATAGCAATTGATCCACCTATTTTGATAATTTTAATATACTTATTGTCTATGCATTTATATTTTAAGTTTATGATATATTTGATATTTTTAGATATAAACATATAACAACATATGAATACATAAAATCAAAGTAAGACAAGAAATAATAAATAAATCAATAAAAAAATTCATAACAAAAATAAAATTAAAATGAAAGTGGTACAGGATATGGTTAATTATTATCAACATCAAAAAGATTCGATTTAAAGTCATAATTGTCTCTAAAAACTGCAGATTCTAAATTAAGTAAGTAAAATTATTTCTCAAATAAACAAGAAGATGATAAAAAGAATGCTTAATAATCTCCATCTTAACCATAATTTACATAGATTCCTAGTTTATTTACTTCAAAACCAACAACTCCATGTAATGATTAAGATAGAAAATAATATATTCCTTAATCTTAAGCAAAAGATTTAGATGAAATAAAAGATAAGTAGATTTATAATTAAGTAATTGTTGAAGATTCAGAACCTTAAATAAATGAAAGTTCTGATGAAGAATAGAATGATAATTTTAGTAATAATAAACATCATTGTCCTAAAAATAGCAATACTTCTTAATAAGGTTAAATTGTAAATCAATAAATATCTGTAGAGATTGAATAATAAATAATATAAGAAAAATAAGAGGAAGTGAATAAAGAAATAGATAATAAATCTGTAGATCAAGATTTAGTTAGTGTTTCAAATTAATAATCATTACATGCATAATAACCTCCATCACCATAAAATTGTTATACATTTTAAATAGATTTAAATTCTGATTAATAAAAAGTTATTATATCTCCATCTAGTAAAAGAAATAGTTAACATTTAATTGCTGATAATTGTACTGAATGAATTTATATGTTTTATAAATAATAATAATAATCATACAGAATTGTTATGATTATATATATAAATTAAATATAAGTTCTGGCTATTATAAATGAAAAATTTAGCATAGAATGTGTAAATATAAAAAGTTATCAAAACAGTAAATGAATTAAGAGAAACAATTGATAAAAGGATATCAATATCTGTTGGACTAGGTCTTGCTTTTGTTGTGATTGGATTTAAATTATTAAGAAATAAAGGAGAAGATTAATAATCAATACAATAATAATCAGAAGTAGTTGATAAATAATCATAAAATTCAAATAATTCTGAAGAGAATGATATTATTGATATTGAAGAAACTAAATAATAAGAAAAATAACCATAATAATAAAAGCAAAGTGAACCAAAATAAAAGAAAAAATAAATTATATAAAAAATTAATCAAAAAACAAAAAAATAGTTTTAAACAGATAATGAAATGCCTGCACCTAAAATAGTTTTAGAAAAACAAAATTCTATAAAATAAGAGAAAAATGCAGATGATAAATTATTTTTCTAAATTTACTAAAAAATGAACTAAGAAGCATCAAATGAAGATTCATGAATTTGTTTGATATATTAATTAATTAATTATATTATTATAAATGAAAATAACTATTATTAAATCAAATGTAGACAAAATTTTGAGTTAAATAGAGAACAAGGAACAAATTATTAATATCACTGCTATTAAATGCAATTTAGATACTATACCTATTTTAGATTTTCCAAATCTAAAAGTCTTGGATCTATCTTATAATAATATATCAACCTTTGATAATTTACCAAATACAATAGAATATTTAAATTTATAGAACAATCAATTTGAATACTTTGAAGAGTTAGAATTTCCTCCATCTTTAGTTTATTTAAATTTGAATGGCAATAAAGTTTCAACTAAAATTTAGTATCGTAGCAAATTAATTAAAAAAATTAAACAAACATGTCCTGATTTTAAGTATTTAGATAATGTTCCAATTAAATTACGATATGCAGAGATGCCTATTAATATCAGTAAGTTTGATAATATTATGGATTTTACATATGAGATGTTTGGGGATGAGATTTGATTATTTATATAAAAAATTAACTATAAATTTAGTTCTAATTTATTAATTAAAATGAATAAATAAGAAAGAGAAAATGTTAAGTAACGTATCGAAGAAAGAATATTTTAGATCAAATTAAAAAATACATAACATGTACTGTCATATAGATGATTAATAAATAGGAAGTAGTTATAGGAAAAAATGCCAATTTTACAAAAATAATTGAATAAGAATATGCAACGAAATATTTAGAGAGTTTAGGTATTGAAGCTAATCAAAAAAATATCTAGATGATTTTAAAGAATTATCCATTAAATAGATGTGAAATAACAGGTGGATGGAATAGTAAAATTATTATATAATAATTATAGCATCTGGATTATATGCTGATACTATTAATATTGTAGTTAGATAAAAAAAAAAGAATATAGAAGTGGCTTTAGGATAAAAAGATAAGGATGTATTGGATGAAGTATAGAAAGAATAAGATTTAAAGAAAATTACACTTAAAAAGAATGAATAAGAATAAGATCCATAACTTACATAATAATAAATAGCATTACAATAGAAAAATGAAGTTGAATAATAAAAGGAACTATTGGAAAAAGAAGAAGAGAAGAAAATTAAATTTAAATTGGATTTCTCTTTAGAGGAGATCAAACATAAATATTTGTTTCCTTTTAATTAAACATTTTAAAGAAAATAAAATTAGAATATGGTTAATTAGGATAGATTAGAATTTTAATAAAATGATGAAACACATTCTGAACATGATAAATTTTTAGTATTTGAGAGCAAAATATTCTAATTACCATTTATTCATATAGAAATTCCAGCTCCATTATTAAAAGATGTTTAAAGACCTCCAAATATAAAACCAGAAGATATTGAAAAAGTTTTAAAATAAATAGATAAATTATTTCCTAAAAGTATTTTTCCAATAAAGGCAAGTGCTAAAAGTTAAGAGAAATAATAATAATAATAATAATAATAATAATTAAGTAAAGAAAAAGTAAATGATGATGTGGAAACACGATATATTGTATTTGAGAAACATTAAGTAGATAATGTATTTTAATTAATTCAAAAAAGTGAAATGGTAAAATTAATAGGATTATTTATTCATTTATCATATTGGTTAGTATTTGGTGTAACATTACCAATATAAATATAAACATTAACTAAAAAATAAATGTATATATAGATGATGGAAATAATTGAATCATTTTAATCATTTTATGCTCCTAAATTATGGATGCATTTAATAATGCCTATGATATTAGTTTCATTAAAAATGGCAACAGAATATATATATAAAAATCATTACATAATATTTTTTGAGAAACCAAGAACAGAAATAAATACACCAGGTAATATTGCTATGGATAAAATATTTCATTTTGCTGATAGATTATTTGATTAAAATAATTTATTTTGTAGATTCATATTTTTAGAGAGTAGTAAATAAAAAAAGATAGGTAATGATTCTAAATTTATGCATAAAAGAATATTTGGTGTTTCACCATATTTAGATATTATGATTTAGAATCCATAAAATAGTAGAACTAGAGCTATTATAGCTAAACAAAGGGATATAGACAGTATTTCTATTATATTAAATTTATTAGTAAGAGATAAAATATTAACAATAGGTGAGAAGAAACTAACTTAAACAATGCCACCTATATTGAGATAATAAAGTACAAAAGAAGAAAAGGATAAAATAGAAATGGCTTAGAAGGCTAAAATGTTTAGTGTTGTATTAAGTAGAATGCAATAAGATTTTGAAAAAGTATTAAAGGAAAAGGATGTTTTAAAATTAAAATAGATTTAATGTTGAAATAATATTTTATAATAATAATTTTTCATATTTTATTTATAGAATAGTAAATTAAATAAGTAAATAAATATGTCATTATAATGGTTATCTTTCTTTTCTTATTCTTTTTTATATTTTAGGTTTTTCATTCTATTTTTTTATTTCATTAACAAGATCTTCATCTTTTCCATTATCACAATGATTACAATTACATTCTACAGTACATTTCTTACCCCTTATAAAACATTCACAATATTTCTTTACACATCTAGTTTTTGAACAATTACATCCCCAGATTTCATTTGTTTCAAATAGTTTTTCTTTTGGAATCTTTTTATTTCTATGTGCTTTCTTATTTACATTATCTACAGCCTTCATTCTTTAAGTTTTGTATTCTTCTCTATTCTTACAATCTTCACATTTACATTATTTCCCACAAATTCTTCCATTGTGGAAACAAGAACAATACATTTTTAAACAACCAGTCTTTTAGCAATTGCAAAGAAACAATTCTACTTCTTATATCTCTTTTTTTTCATCTTGTACTATTTCTTCCACTTTATGATTTTCTTCATGAATATTATTTGTCTCACATTAAATAGGATATCCTTCAGAAATTTGTTCAGGTTCTATTTATGAATCCCTATAATAATTAATAAATTATTTCTTTTACCATTTTCTTAATTTTGGGGATTGTTTTTATTGATCAAAATCACTAATATTTGAACATATACTGTAAAATTTTTACAAATATGGTTATTTCAGGTCATCCAAAAACTCTTAAATTTACATTAATAGAAATTTCTAATATAGAAAATTTATTACTTATATAAATATCAATTTTTTTAATTAAATGGAAAAAATTACATCAGCATTCATCATATTATTTATATATAATTAACTATACAATTATTAGTAATCTCTTTTCTTATTCTATACATTTATTAACAAAATATCTGAAAATTGTTATTATATTATATACTAAAATATTTATTATTATTATTATATTCTTCATTTATTACTATTAAATATGAATTAAGATATGCTTTCAGACCCATCCTCTAGTTCAAAATTCTCAGATTTACTTCACTTTATACTCAATTCAAATAGCAAGTCAAATAAATTCTAAAAAATTCTCCCTCGATTATCAATCACTGAGTCTTTAAATAATTCCATTAGAAATGCACGATCTAGAATTTAATCACTAAAACATGAACCAAATGGTTTTATTACTTCAAGAATTGATTTTATTCAAAACACAGGAGATTATTGTTACAAAGCCTTAAATCAACAAACCTTATCATTAAAATAATAACGGGGGAGAATTGAAGATTCAATAGAAAGGTCCGTTCAAGGTAGTCCATCAGTTCATTCATATTAAACAACAAAGGTAATTGAGACATGATAGGAAGTTTAAATACCCATCTATGTTAGAGTCAATAAGATAAAGAAGAAATTATAATCTCTAAAAATACCTAGATGATAATCTAAAAGTATTTTGTGACATAATTAAAAAGAAGGATATTGAAAAATTGATTAGCTTCTTAAATTATCCATTTCAATATTCTTAAGAATAAAATGTAATCTTTATAGATTAATTAATAGCTCCTAAATACTTTCTGTGAGTTATTATATTTCATTGCTTATTTTGGAAATACTATTTTATAATTAGCTAAAGCTACATTTTTGTTTAAAGATTGTTTAAAATTATCAGAATTATGTAGAAATCATTAACTGAAAATAAAAATATTGATTTAATTATTTTCAATTGCAAAATAGTAAAATTATTACAATAATTAATAGATTGAAATAATATGACAAGGCATATAAATTTATATTAAAAGCTCTTTCATATGCATGGGCTGAGAATTTAGATGATTATGAAATAGATTGTTATGATAAATTAGGAATGTGTTATTTCTATTAAGGAGATATTCTCAAAGCTAATCATTTTCATAGTAAATGGGTTAAATGTGAAATTGAACCAAGAGATTCTTATTATAGAATAACATCAAAAGAATTTATTTAATTATATGAGAGATCATAACCATTTTGTAGAGAATTTGATGATAAAATATCTAGATATATTCATATTCCTTTTACTAATTTAAAAACAGGATAATCATTCGATTGTAATTCAACATTAAAATATAATAATTGTGAATCAATTCCATTATTAAATGAAATTCTTAATGGTTATGAATATACAGAATATTTTTTAGAATATCATTATGTAGATTAAGCATAAAAATAATATTTAAAAAAATCATCATTACCTAGAAGAGCTCTTGAGATTATGTCTAAGTATGATAAAAATAAAGATAAATATATATTTGATCATAAGATTCATGAAAACCCTATTTATAAATTATCATTATAGGAGAAAGTTAATTATAGAAAAACTAAATTTTATTCACTTGATTCAGTAGAATAAAATATATAAAAATTTATTTCTTAATAAAGAGAACCTTTTAAAAAAAGTGAAAAGATTTATGTTAAGGAATCCCAAAGAAAAGATTTATCACCTGAAAATGGTAATCAATTATCATTACATTTTAAAAAACTTTTGGTAAGCATAATTGATTAAAATTGAAATATTTAATTCTATAATTAGTTTCCCTTATTATTTATTATTTTAATTAATTAAAAATGTAAGAATAAGAATTTCTTAAAAATGAGAACAAACCTTTCCTTCTTAAATAACAACAATAAATTACACGTACTGTTCTTCAATCCTTAATTCATGAGTATCATATTCTCATCAAAGGACTCACCAATTAGTAATTAAAATAACTATCTACTAGAGAATATCAAGATTATTGTAATGTAAAAGGAGCCTGTGGTTAAACTATTCCTCTAATTTTAATCTTACCTATTAGTTTAGCTATAGGTACATTATAGTTAGTATTGTTATTTTTTAAAAATATTAGAGAAGGTATTTCATGATATTAAATTATTTAATAGGACCCTTAATACCAGCAGTGATTTAATTTATATTATTATAAACAGCATAAACATTGATAATGTATATGATTCTCAAAGCTTGTGAAGTTATTCCAAAAAAAATTGAAAATCCTTTATTATTTGGAAAGATAACATCTTACATTTTCATGTGCTTAAGCATAGCTGAGGGAACATTAATTATTGTATAAATACATATATTATATTTTATAAAGGAAAGAATTTCAAATTTCAACTAATTTTCATAGTCTTATTTTTGGGCAATTTTTGGATTAATAATTTGGCAAAAGATAATATAATTATTTATTTATGATTGCAAACTTAGAATTGGAATAGTCATATTTTTATATATTTATTATGTATTTAGATTAGATTGTGATTTATTCAATAAAGTAATTAATTACATTATATTTTTAGGATATTATAAAAGTAATTTCATATATATGTTTAGAAATTATCTTCATAATAGATGCTGAATTAAAAAATTATTCTCAATATTAATTTGAAAATAATATGTAATTTAGAAATAACAAAGAAGATGTTCAATTTATGATTCCATAAGTTTAAATGTAGACTTAATAATAGATTCTAGAAATCATTACTAATCAATTTCCTATTATTATTTTTGATCAGACTAAAGAATTACTTCATATTTCAGGTGTTGGATTAAAATAACTATAAATGGAAGATGATTAAAATAAAATAGATTTGATATCTGCAGAAATTAAATTAAGAAAGATGGAAGTTATACAATTATTTACAACAAATTAATAATAGAAAGATAATTTGATATAATTAAAGAGGATGGCTAAATTCGGATCAACTTGTGGAACTAATGAAAAAGGAGAATTATTACATTCTCTTATAAATGGACCAGCACTTTAATAATTACGTATTTTAAGGTAACCTTAAGATAATTAAAGAATTATTCATTATAATCCAGATGGTGTTTTAGAGTAATTACTTAATAATTTAATTAATGATTAATAATCAGAATATAAAGGTATATCTAAATTCAATCTACCAAAAAATTAATTTAAATATTTTTAATTTACATTAATTAAAGTACCTAAAGGAAATGTTTTTTAAATATTCTTAATTCTAGAAGATATTACTTAATTTTATTAGGATATTAATTTAAACTAGAAGAAAGAGGAAGAAGATCTTCCAATTATTTGTTAAGAATTTAGATAAATGTTATTCTGTTAATAAAACTTTTAGATTCCTCTAAAATTACTCAATATTGAAATGAAAAATACTATTAAATATTCTAAATAATAATATTTATAAGAAGATATATTTAAACCAGATACTTTAATTAATTAATTATAAACAAAGTATTAAAATTAAATAAATACAAATATTAAATTATAATTTTAAAATAATTTGAAATTAAATACAGGAGAATTTAAAACAGATTAATTGAGATTAATGTAAATAATGTAGATATTACTTGAAAATAGTATTAATAATACAAAGGAAGGATTCATAAAAATTATAATAGAAGATGATAAAAGATAGAATTGTATATAAATATCTGTTGAAGATACTGGTAAAGGTATCAATTAAGAAATTATTTAAGAAGGATTTAATATTAATTAAATTAGATCTTTAAATATAGTTAATTATTTAACTAAAATTATGGGTCCTTTATTTTATTGTAAAAAAATTACAGGTTAAGTTGCAAATAAAGGAATAAGAATTAAATCATTATAAGATTGTGGTACAACAATATCTTTTTCAATCAGAAATTTATCATTAGATGAATTTTCTACTTAATTTATAATAGATGAAGAAGTTTCTTAAGATGAAATGGATGTTGATGTAGATGAAGATGAAATTATGGAAAGATATATTAGAAATGATGATCAAATTTAATATTTATAAAGATTTAATAAAGGATTAAGATCATTTATTATTAATAGATAATAAATTTAAAAAATTACAAAACCATTAGATGTTAATACTAATAAAAAATCAACCAAATTAGTTGGTATGATGAAACTATAAGAATTAGGAAGATTTAAAAATATTTAATAATAGAATGGATAATGTTAATGCAATCAAAAATTAATAATCAATTCAAATTAAGATTTTGAAAGAGTTATGAAATAATATGTATAAGATAATGTTTCCTTTATTCACGAATAAGACTCATTCAAGCATATTAATTTAAAAATAAGAGATAAATAATGTTTGAATCATTCTTGTTAAGTTTATAAATAAATTATTATTAATTGTTACAAATCTGATTTTAATTATAGAGAGTAATAATATTCAATTATTTTTAGATTAATTAATAGAATTCTAGGAGTCAACAATAACTTTAAAATTATTGTCTTAATATACAATTCAAATGGGGACATAGACATGCTAGGAACTTACATCATGATGCCAATTCAAATAGATGTGTTACTATAGTATTTATAAGATTGAGATATTTAAATTTTCAATATATATATATACAACTCTTAAAAATTCTAACTTTCATCCATTTTACCCATTAAAGTCTTTATTTATCATAGTTAGTTCAATATTTAATTATTTTATGATTGAATATTTCCATATCAACTATGGTGAATATTTAAATAAATAATTTTTTATATAATATTTTATTAATTTTAAATTCATAATGAATTCTTCTATCTGAGGCCATTTAAATACAAATTTATAAAGGTCTATTTTTAATAATTAAATTAATGTCATTTAACAATCCAGAGATTGTTGACTCACATTATAGCCAAGCCTATCCGTAGATCGGTACTTAATTTTTATACCTTTTAGATGAGTAATTAAGCGATGAGTATTCACTCATCTATATTCCCCGTACCAGTACCCATCATACCATAGGCAAATAATAGAAGAGTGTTATTATTACAAAGGAAAGCCAATATGATGCTCAATTTGACTCTCCAATAGCCTGGCAAGATATTACTAATTCTCTATATCCTACTTTTTTTGAAGCTCCAGAGTCGAATTTCCATCCTATATCGATACTCTGCGAATTCTAATAATAGAAACAGGAGACGACAAATTCATCCGATGAATAACAACGTGAGTCGATACTCTGCGATTCCTGTAAATCGGAACCTCATTGCTTATCCTGTTAGAAGAAATCCATTTCTATCTAATAGATTTAGAAGAAAATCATGAAGCATAAAGTTGAGAAGAAAAATGTTGTCTTTTCTATCAGGAAGAACTTCCCAAAGCTTCTAGGAACACACTTACTAAATTAAATTGAATAGTTTCCAAGCAGTAATATTCCTGAAGGTATTCAGTAATTTAGGGATAATGCTGTAGTAAGGAAGCAAGCTAAGCTTCAATAATCATTTGCTATTGAAGACTTTAGGAGAATTTGTCTAAATTCTGAGGAGAGTAAGGAATATTTTATAGACTTCATCTTAAATAAATTTATTGTTCGTCTAATGCATAGTTCTAAATTTACTTAGATTGACCTTGTTTTAGATTTAATCCGTAATGCCTATGTTGGAGCATGCAATCCCTAGTAGTGGAAAGGAAACATGTAGATTGATCAAGCATGATATTTATAGCATAACACATTTATAAATATAATATATTATTATTTTTCTATCCATATTTATATTGTAATATATATTAAGTAATGGATTAAGGTGATGAAAATCCAAAATATTAGTAACCTCATGAATAGAGAATAAATTCTTACATGAAAAAACCTGTCAAATTAAGCTAATTGGATCCAGAGATTATGAAGACATATTCAGAATAAATTGGATAACAAAATCAATCTGCTATGCCAAAATTGTCATGGTAATATATTATAATTAACAATATAGGTGGCAATAATTTATGCTTAGACCTGATATTAGAAAGAAGTACAATTCATATAGAAGATTTTCAAAGGAAACATTACCTATGTTAGTATTTGTAGTATTTTCAACTGGAGTATTAATTAAAATGGAAGGACAGTATGATAAGATGAAATAGAAAGTATAAAATTCAAAGACTCTGAAAGAGATAGAGATTGAATAAGAGGATGCTGTAAAATATTTACTTAATTAGTATATTAGAGCAGCTTTGGAAGGAAAGAAAATAAATTTAGATGTAACAATTTAAGAGCCAAGAAAGGAATAAAGATATAAATTTGAAGATGATGATGATGATTAAAATTTACCTGGTTTTGATACTTAAGATGATTTTTATGAAGGATTAGCAAAAGAGGCAAAATAAGGTGCCAATATTCCTCAAGAATATTAACAATAATATTTGGAATATCAGGTTAGAAAGAAACAAGGAGATGAATAATAGAAATCTAAATTTGATTTATGATATATTATTGTATTTAATTATAAAGAAATAAGATTGTAAAATACTTTAAATAGAACATTAAAATTTTATATAAATAATAAATAACATTTATTTTTATATTTATGCATAAAAAAACAGCTCATTTGTTTTTCCTTCCTCCTTTTTATTTCTTATTTTGTGTATCAATCCAACCATCATCACTAATCATATATTTATAAATAATTACTCTTCTTATTCTTCATTTTTTTGTTATTTTGCATTAGTATTTTTACCTTTAGATCTATAATAAAATTAATAAATAAAGTACCCTTTTTATTATTATTTTGCAGCTTAAGCAGCTTCTTCTGCAGCTTTAGCAGCAAGTTCTGCAGCAATTCTAGCTTCTTCAGCAGCTTTTGCAGCAGCAGCAGCTTTAGCTTCAGCTTATTTTTAAGCTTCAGCTTATTATTATTATTTGATTGGATTGGCTTTTTTATTTTATCTTTTATCATATACTTCATCCCATTCTTCATCATCATCTTCAACATGTTATGGTTATGGTTTTTATTTTTCTTATGTTTATTTTCCTTTTTCTTTAGTTTATTATTTTGTATTCTATTATTATTATTATTATTATTATTATTATTTATTTGACTTTTAGTTTTATTATTAATTTACTTTTGATTATTATTGTTATTTTTAATTGGTTTTAGTTTCTTATACTTTTTTTTTTTCTCCTTCACTTTCTGATGGAGATGAAGCTCTTTCAGGTGATTTTTTCTCTGGAGATTCAGTAGATGGGGATCTTTATTATTTCTTCAATTCTTAAGCTTCAAGTTATTTTTATCGTTTCTTTTCTTCTTTTAATAATCTTCTTCTTTCATATAATTCATCTTTTGTTAATTCTTCATTATCATTTGAATTAGTTTAGTTAAATGGTAATTTGTCCCAACCTAATAAAATACTTGCATAGAGAAATTATATACACAATTGATCCTAAAGAGAGAACATATCCAATACATGTTTCAAATGGTCGTTAAGCAACTTTGAGTGTACCCAAACCAACTCTAAATATAGATAAATAAGCTCTTACGCAAAAGCTGCAACAAGTCCGTATTGAATTTGCTTGGATAATTAAGGCATGTATAATTAATAATTAATAAAATGACAAGTGTATTAATTAATTTAAATTGTATATTAATTATATATATATATATAAATATATCAATCTGTTAACTCGTCTGAATCATTTAATATAAGTCCATTTTCATTAAAATCTCTTTCTTACATTGCTTTAGATTCATTATATGTTCTTTATAGAATATTATGTGATAATACTCCAATTCTGAGATCCATTTATTTAATTTCTAACTAAAAATAAATTTAAATTAAGTATTACTCTAATTTTAGTTAAAGCAGCCTTAATTCTAATAACAGGAGATTAATCAGTAGAAATATTACCATGTTCATTTAATTTATTTTGTACAGTTTCATACTTTTCTGATATTTATTTGTATTAATCACCCATTTCTTTGATTGCATTTGTATAATTCTTGCATTATAATTCAATCCTTTTAACTTCTTCATTTTTCTTTTTGTATTCACTTCCCTTTTATATTTAATTTCAATATATACCATATCATGCATATTTTCATTTATATTATATTCTCTTTTACTAATTCTATCTAAAATTTCAGATAATTCATCAGTCAACCTTTCTAATTTAATTCTAGCTTCTGGTAAAATTGCTTTAACTTATGATGAATATTATTTAGTAGCATCAAAATGTTATCTCCATTCTCCAGCATTAGGTTTTATTACTATCTTCATCTTTTATGAAGCTCTCTCAACTTCCTTGGCCCATTCTTATGGATTTACATTAGATTCTATCACCATCCTCTCTTCACTTCGTATTAATAGCTTAATTACTCTTTTTAAAATCCCTATTCATTAAAAACATCTTCTGGTTCTTCATCTGATGCCACTTCAGGATCAGAATCTGATGAAACACTTCCAGTTTCTTAAACAGGCTCTTCTTCTTATCTACTTTTAGTTAACATATATACACTTACGTCTATGATTGTTATTCAATTCTGACTTTTTTAAATTAAAACTTCTTTTTTTATAAAGCTTTGCTAGCTAATTGCTATAAGACATAAACAACATATTCTCCAAAACCTTATTTTAATTTAAGAGGTGGAAAATCTACATCGATTCCAATATTTTTGACTTCATTTACTATTTCTATATAATAAGAATATACATATATTTTAAGATAATGTTACAGGATCATCTAATTTATTAAAATCAGTAGTTTGTACATCATTCTAAGAAAACAACCATTTGGCCAATCTAATTAGAATTAACATACTATACGTTTTAAATTAACTGAATTATTCACTTGAATTAGTTTGATTGACAAAGTATGCTCTATTCAATGGTTTTCCACCTCTAATTATTCAAATTTGTAATCTTACTTTTGTTTTATATAACTTTATTCATAATTCAATAAAATTAGTTTTTCATACAAATCTTCCATCATAGCTGTTACATCCAATTATTCCTAATGAATTTAAATATATTCATACTTAACCTACCTACTATTCGGACATAATTAATTTTTATTTAATATTCAAATATACAAATATATATATATATATTTAATCTTCTATCAAACTTACCAATTATGTAACATTATTTTTTATAATGATAATAAAGCATGTTCTCTAATCTATTAATCATTATTTCTAGCTTATGTCATAATTTCTTATTTTGCATTCAATTATTCTAATACTCTATACTTATATAATTTATATACACTTTTCCAAAAGGATGGAATCTACAAAACTCTCCCAAATCATAACAAGCAACTGCAACATTTTGATTATTATTTGATTTCAATATTTCTGCTAATTTTCTAAATTCAATCACTATAATAATAATACCTAATCAATAAGAAATCATTTTCTTCAAATTTCTTAACATTTTCCTTCCAAAACTTTTCAGTATGTACTGGACTCCATGTTAGATTTTAAGCATTTAGTTCTTTAACATATTTCTCAAAAGAACTAAATAAATTGAATGAATTTACGTTAATATTTTCATATTCTTTTCTAATATTTCTCCAACATATTTGATATCATCTATTAAATCTTAATCTTTTAGATTTCCTTTCAAAAGTAAATCAACTACTTTAATTAATCCATTATCAACCATTAATTCAATACATTAAGGAGATATATCAACTAAATTCCTAAAACATGCAAATGAAACTCTTAAGATCTTTTCTCTTGATATCTTTTATACTGATTCTATTATCAATCTGATTAAACCAATTGTTGGATCATTAAATAATGAAATAGATTCAGTTGTAAAACTAAGCAACCATAATGCTAAAATTGTATAATATGCAATTTGTAAATCAGTAGAATACTTAGATAATAAATTAGTAATTCTAAATGAACAACTATAAATACATTTTAATTCCACCACTTTTAATAAATTAGATTGCAAGTTCTTCATGTTTTAAGAAATGAACACAAATTGGCATAATCATAAAATCTGCAATTTTTAATTTATTACCTATTAAAGTATTATCATAATATATATTAATTACCTATTCCTCCTAAAAACAATATAACCCATTCTTTTGCATCATTTCCTCCCTCTTCAGCTATTATCATTGTAGCAATCTTTGCAGCTGCCTCATATGCCATTGGATCATATCCATCAAGAAATAAGAATTGCTTTAATTTTGGTAATACTTAAGGAGTCAATGCTCTCATAAATTATTTAAATAATCTTTGATTATCTATTTGTTTTATCTATGAAATCTCTACCTGATATAATTGCCTCAATTGTTGTCAGAATATAAGACATCAAAGGCTTATCATGAATAAGGTTCTCTATAATATCCAAAATCATTGAAAACACTCCAACAGAATCAGTTTCCAAGAGTTTCTTTTGTTCTTATAACTAAATAATAAGATTAATCTATTCTACCTTTCCTTAAGTAAATTTAATGAACATATCTTTAGTGTCTCTCTTAATTGATTTACCATGTTAATCCAATTACTTAAAGCAATCTTCACAATCCTTCATTACTTTGTTTAGATACTATTCTCTTTAATAAAAAGTTATGGATTGACAAAAATATCTCCTTTATTTGAACATAATAATAATTTATTTTATATATATTCAATGTGATCCATGTGGTAAAAATATTGATTATGGTTAACTAATTTGTTCAGGTTTCAAGCTTGACCACATTGAATTGGTAATATTATGTTAATAATTCTATTTCATCAGATGTCTTGAATAGAAGTCAATATTGTTGTTGATTTCATTCTCAAAATGAGATATTACTTCTTATCAATCACTAAATATTGGTCTGGTCTCTACTTCAGATATCATCTAATTTATTAAATTAGTTAAAAGCGTTTAGTAACCTCTCTATATTAATAGATCATTTGCTTAGAAGATTCTATCAATGTAAACTTCTTTACTTATCCTATCATAATACTATATACAGGATCTAAGACTAGCTAATTCCAAGAGAATTAATCCTAAAGCAAATACATCACCTTTGATTAAATTACGTTTGGTGATGAGTTTTTAGCTCTTAATTATTTTAATAATTCAGGAGATAGATATTGAAAATCATTTAATAATAATGCTTTCTTATATCCATTGATACTAAATAGATATTTTTAGATTTAATTTCTCTATGATATCTTCCATTCTTTTCTAAAAAAGTACAAGTATTTACAATTTATAGTATTATTTACCATAATCTTAATTTATTGTAAAAGAATTCACCTATTACAGTTAATTAAGTTTAATCTTAACATAAATTTTGACTATGTTATTCAGATACCTAGTTAATTATGATGAGTAGAATTTTTCAATTTGAATTTCTTCATCACATTTTCATACTTCTCATCCTTACAATTTTTAATTGGAATTACCCATTATATTTATAATTATTAATTTATACTCAAATCATTTTAAGAATAACAACCAATCAATTATATTAATTTCACTTCAATTATCTATAGTGTTTTTTCTTAATGTAATAAAAAAACTATTAATATTTCTAGAGGATAAGAAATAGATTTAATATTATTGTTAAAGAATAATAATATTTAAAATATATCATTTTCACTTATGGAAAGATGTTGAATATAATATTTCTTGAGATATTATTATCTTCTTTAATTAGAGAGAAAGTATTATACATTTTCAATTTATATTCTTTCATTTATATGGATAATTCTATCTATCTTTTTCTTCTTTTTATTAATTATAAATAAGTACAATTATATCATTCCAATAAAGTAATTTATTTTAAATAATTCTCGTCAATATTATCTAAGTAATTAGATGATTTTTATAGTGTTATGGATTTTGAAAATCTATAAGTATCATTTAATTGATTAATAAAAATAATTGATTTTATATAATATTAATTTATGATTGAAGTATCTCATAAGAGTTTGCAATTCCAATAAGGTTTATTAAATCGATTAAGGTTTAAGATTAGAAATGTAAGTAATGTCCCAATTACATTCAGAATTAGGTGCAATAACAACACAAATTATAAATTAGACCATTATATGGGACTTATTCATAGTCTTTAAGATTTTGAGAATTGTATTTAAAACATTGAAGCAGCAGTAATTACAATTTATATTAAATAAGGATATTAAATTGTTTGGTGATTAATTAGAAATCTAATATGCAGAGTTGACAGATCCCTTATTAGACTTGAAAGAGTTTTGGAAATCTAGAAAAAGCTTGGATCATGTCATAATAACTATTGAAGTCTTAGATGTTTAATAATAATAGAAGGATGCAATCTTAATAGAATTACAGGTTAAATAATAAACATTACAAAAAGAACTATAATCTATTAAATAATAATATAATTAGGTTTAGAAATCTGCTGTTGATATCAATTACTTTAATTAATTCTAAGAAGGATTTACTGTTGGATAATTGATGATTATTATTGTGATAGCATTGTTTCTTGGTGGTATTTTAAGATGAATTGATATATATACAAAAGTGTTATAGATTTTTTAAATTCTTATGAATTATTTATATATTATATTATCGATTAAGATATATAAAAATAGAAATAATATTATTATTCAAAATAATTAAGGTACTTATTTGTTGATTATTGTTTATAAATTATATGAATTTTATTGACGTATTGGTGATTTACTAGGTTTATTAACTCTTATCTTTGAACTTGGTTTATTAATTTATTTAAATTCATTTTCAAATTATCTTTATTTTTCCAATAATTACTCTTCTTAATATTATTATAATGTTTATTATTTTTTAATCAAAAACTTTTCCTACCTTTCAATCAATGTATCTGTATTTTTTGAAGCTAATTCTAATGATTTCTTGTTCAATTCAGGTTAAAATGAATATGATTCTATTGATTCTTCCTTAAAAGATTAAGTTCTAAAATTGTTGCAGAAATTTCGTTTAAGAAATTCATCAAACTAATTTTATGATAATACTTTGATTTCATGATCATTTATTTCAGTTTAAGCTTTAGTTTACTTATTTTCAAAGAGAAAATATTGTTCTCTTCGTTTTTTAACTCTTTCTTCAAATTCAGGTGGTAATTTGTTGATATTCAATTAATATACTTCAGGTTATGGTTATTTACGTTCTTGCTAATGACATTATATGTACCATTATTTTATAATCTCAAAAAGACTTCTTCATTTGGTTTAGTAGGTCTTTAATCATTTTAAACTTATTCATAAAACTTTTCAAATTATTTTTCAAATAAATATTTCTATTCTCTTTATTATCCATATTTAATTAATCTATCTTCAACAGGTTCATCAAATTCCATCATTTTAGACTTTTCATTTATACTTGGTTAGAAACTAGACTCATTTTATTGTCTACTTTCTTTTTTATCAAAATATTATTGAGCATGATATTTCCATCCATCAATTGGTGATAAATAATTTTAAGGTAATTTTTATATTTAATGTTATTATGATTTTTATTACATACTCATTTCATTTTGATATTATTCTTAAAATCGTTTTTGATTTACTAGATTTTTCCATTTCATAGAATAATCATAAAAATCTTTTGTTATTTATTAAGGTGGTTCATCTTCTATTTCATTTACTTAATTAATTAGCATTTACAATTATTTTTAGTAATCAATTTCTTTTTATTTCTATTACTTTTTTAATGCATTTTAATAAAGTTTTTCATGACATTATAATTCTTATCCATATTCAACATACATTAAATTTTTGAACATTTATTTTAAATTTTTAACTTATAATAATAAACATATTTATTTAATATAAAGAATCAATCACCAAGTTCTTTCATCTTCATTTAATTATTCCATAGTAAAATATCTATCTGATATTTAAGATATTTCATTAAATTATGGTATATATGCAAGAGTATCATATTTCTTTTATGCTAAATCCTCCCAAGAAATATCATGAAACCAAGGATGACTTTATAATTCCTTAAAATCCATGAGAAATCCTAATCTTTATGTACTATCATGTTTTATTAATTTTTAAATGATATCCTTACATTATGAAGAACAAGCTATATTTTTTGGGAAATGAATTTCACCTTTGAGAATAAGTTTCAAAGATATTTCAAAATTGTTGTGATAGAATGGAGTTATACCTACCAATAATTCATAAATAAGAATGCCTAAACTATACCAATCAGACATTCTAGTAAGTTCTCCATTTTTTATATATTCTGGAGATGAATATTCAATAGTAAAATTGATTGCTTATGTTTTTTTATATTCCTAATACATTCTTAATTTACCATATCCAAAATCAGTTAAATATACATAACCTCTTTCATCTATCAATATATTCTCAGGTTTCAAATCTCCAAAAATAATTCCCCTTTCATGTAAATCTGATAATGCTATTGCTATTTATGCAACTATTTATTTTACTTATTATTCTTAAAAATTATTAATATCTTTTAAATGTTAATAGAGATCACCTCCTTTCACAAATTAAAAAATTAAATTAACATAACCATTATAAAGCATACATAATTCAAGTTCTTCTATGAATGGCAATTTCTCATAATTCTTTAGAAAAAGCTCTAATAGATCTATGTCAACTGAATTTATAGGAACACATTTAAGTACTGAAAATTGTTATTATTTTTAATATTTATTATGCAATAAATAGATCTTACTTAAAGATCCTTAAGCTAAGACTACTGATTTCTAATATTCATCTAATTTAACTCTTAATCTTAATGGATCATTAACAAATAATACAAATAAATCATTTGAAGTTGTTTTACTTTTATTCATAGTATTGATATAATTTAATTAAAAATTCTCAGGATATATTATAGTAATTTAACATTTTGGATGTAAACTAGTTTACTTTGATTTATCAAGTGTTTGATGATGCATACAATAAGGTTATAAGATTTCATCTTCTATAAAATATATTTTGATGCCATCTATATTGTGCATTTTCAAAGCAATTGCTAAATAAAATATTATAATATCTCTATTCTCTTATGATTTATATAATAAATCAGATTCTGTAGGTACATGTATAATAAATTCAGAACTTTTCTTTGAAATTGTGACTCCAAATATTTTGTTAATTGCTATCTTTCTTTTAATTGATTTTTTGTCTATATTATAAACAAATTCATTAGAAATTGCTATCATTCTTAACTATTCATTATTCCTCTTATTGATTTTTGTAATCATTCGAGATATAAGTATTATTTCTAAAGATGTGCATTATTTCTTATAATACTTTTCTGCATCCAAAAGATAAATATCATTTGTATCAATTTTGATTTATTTTAAAATATTCATTTTCCTATTATCTTGATGCATCCAATATAATATTAATGAGAAATTATTTTTATACAAATAATAACACAAATTCAAATACATAATTATACATAAATTATTTGAAAAATGGCAAAGTTGCTCTTAGTTATACTAGTTCTCTCTTTACACGTTTCTTTAAATGAGTCAATCTCAATTCCTTCTCTCAATCATTAAGTTCAAATGAATTAGAAGCCAAAAAAAAAGCCCGCCATCGAATGGAGAAATACTTCTGAATTTGAAAATAATCCAACTTATGTTAAAGTTGTGGAAGTTGCCAAAAATAACTTTTAAAGTTAATGTAATATGAATAAGACAATTACCTTTTCAAAAGTACTCTAGGTTGCTAAAAAAATTGAATAAGGATTCCTTTGGTCTGTAATACTTTTATTATTATATCTAAGTTATAAGTTGAGTTTTCAGATAAATCAATTAAAATCATTTAGATCTTTGAAGATTTAGATGGAAATTTAGAATTTGATTCATGTAAAGATAACTTTTGAATATATTTTCATTTATATTGAAAATCTTATAAATGTAAATCATTATAAATATATCTTTATTTTCTATTAGAACTGCAACACAATAAATGTTGTTATAATTTTTAACTTGTTTTAGTTTTATAAGATTTAATCAATAAAACGGTATGCTTTTGATTTAATAAATTATAGTATGAATTTAATTAATTAATATTAAAATAAATGAATAAAATAATAATAGTATTTTTAACAATAATTCTGATTACATAAGCTAAAAGACATTTTATAGAAAATAAGGTTAATTAAAAACAAGAATTACTTGGAGGTATAAAATGGGAGTCTCCATAAAAATTTCATAATGATGAAGATTATTAAAAAGCTATAGAAAAAGCAAGACATGAATTCCATCATATTTGTAATTTATCTATTGATATTACTTGGATTAGAGTAGAAAAGGTGGGTTTTTAAATTGTAGCAGGTGTAATGTGGTGGGTATTATATTAAATTTATATATATATTTTAGTTAGAAGTTGAATTGAGTAATGATTAAATTTATGAGATGAAAGTATATTAAGAATTAGAGGGAACTTTTGAATTAGTTGAATGTAACAAATGAAATATTATTTACACTATTTTAATATATTAAATCATAAATAAATTAATCGTTAAAATAAATAAATGCAAAGATCCTGGTTAGAGTAACCCTAAAGAAGTTTAGACATCAATTTTGATATTAAATCTATACGAAATTAAGTTAAAGATAGATGTGTACCAGTTCTATAATATTAAACAGACTCTGCATAAAAATCATTCAATTCTTATAGGTAATAAAATGAAATATTTTAGAAAAGAAAGTTTACCTACAGTACCATCATTTGAAAACTTATAAGCCAAAATTAGGGATTTCTCATATACTAAACTCAATCAGGCTTCATCATTTTAATAAAGAAATTAGATTGTTGATAAATCTATCACTTATTCACCATAAAAAGCTGTGGGTTTGTAAAAGAAGTAATTTTAAATTATAAAAATTAAAGGATTAATAGTTCTTTAGGTAGTAGAAATAATACTAATTATCAAAGTTCTCGATAATAATCACCAGCTTATTAAAGCAGACCTATTGAATTAAGTTATAGGTCATAATAAAGAAGAAATTTGAGTGATAATTTATAATTGAATGAAATAGTTTCAATGAGAAATAAGATTGAATCATCTTAAGCTAGTAGAAGTCTATTAGGAGCAAAGTAATTTATTATAATTTTATATTAGTTATGTGAGTGAATTAGTCAAATTAGCTTAGGCCATAACTAATGCACTGAAATGAGATAATTTTAGTTTTAAAATTATGATATAACTACAAATTTAATATATAAATTTATGAAAAACAATTAATATTAGATAAGAGTAACATTGGACAGTACTCCATCAACTTATTAAACTAATGAAACTTTATCTTTATGGGAAAATCTATAGAGATCTAAAGATTCACCTAGAAAATCAAAAATAAGAATTGCAAGAGATCCATTAGAGAATGAATGTCCATTGTAATAACCAAACCCATTTTTATTTAATGAATAATTGAAACATAGTTTTAGAGATTATTTAGAAGGTTAAAAGACAGCATTAAATTTAGTAAATGAATGTAATCATATCATAAGTTAATCACATAAGATGGATTAATTAAAATTATTTACAAATGTAAATAAATTTAGAAGTTAATTAAAATAAAGATCCTCTGTTAGATTATCTATGAACTAAAATAATTCATAAAGTGAAGATCTTCTTTAAAGAAAAATTAAAATATAAGAAAGATTTCATAAAATACAAACATTGATTTAATAAAGAATGTAAGCTAAAAATAAAAAAGAATCACTTCGAGATGTTTAATTATTTAAACATTTATTTGAAACTTGTGAAAAAAATGTTAATAAAATTAAATCGAAAAATCTATTGTCAGAAAAAGCAGATGGAATAAGAGAATATGATAAAATTAAATATTCTAAGAATCCATAAGGATCATTAAGAGTTCGTTTAGATAATGAAGACAATTAAAATATATGTAATAATTTAAGAAGTAAAACTTTACCTGATTAATAAACAATACATTTAACAAGAAAAAAGGAAAGAGAAAAAATGAATTTAAAATTAACAGAGTTTTTAGAACATGATCAAAATTAAGAAAAGAATTTACTTCTTAAAGCTAAAAGAAATTTAATTAGAGAATTAAAAAATGGTAATCAAAAATTTCATTAATTTGAACCTAATAGATATAATATAACAGATCCATTAAGTAAAGATGTTAAATTTTATGCTTATATGTTCATGAAACCTAAAAATGATGATATTTTATAAAAAAAGAATTAAAAGTATAAAATGTTGTGTAAAACAGAACGAATTCAATAAAATAAATAAAGACATTACTTAGCCAATTTTAATAAATTATAATCTAATTCAAGAGATGAAAGTTTAGAAGAAGATTCTTCATTCAATTCTATGCTTGAAATCAATATAGATAATCTATATAAAAGAAGTACTGATTTATAAAATATGATTCTAAATACAAAATCTGAAAAATTTGTTAAAAGAATTAGATAATTCTAAAAAGTATAATCATTAACTACTTAAATAATTAAAGTGAATGAATAAAAACTATCTAATACTAAATTATTATGAATAAAATAATATTGTTGTTACATAAAATTTCTATACACATCAATAAAAATCAAATTCATTATTATCTTCATTTTCCCATGGACTAAAATCTATTGTAGGTTCACTTTTCTTTATCTTCATTCTTTAAGATAATCTTCTACGTTTAATTTAGTATAATTTTTAAAACTATTGCTATTTGGCTAAATTATACGGCATTTCAATAATATTTTCTTTATTACTAACTATTGTTCTATGTGGAATTGGAGGTTTTACAGGATATTAAACTTAAGGTAAATGTTCTTCCTCCATTTCTGTTTTTGTTTCAAATGATTATCTTCTAAGTCTTTGTCTCTCTAATTTCATATGAATAACTTTTAAAGCATTTTCACTAGTTTTTCCTAGTTGCAAACCTTTATAATAATCTTATTTGATTTCACTTGTTTCAGTAATCTATCTTAATCTCTCTACTTTCATTGAAGTAGATCTCTAATCCTTATTAAATCCAAATACAAAATTGTAAAAATTTTATCGTTGATTTTATTGACAGTTTTTCATTTTAATTTATAAATTGCTTTAATATTAATCATTAATCCACTAGAATTATGATATAATCATTAAAAATATAATTGATAATATTAACAAATATCAAATGTCATCTTCTTATATGATATGATCACCTTCTAATTTAGGAATAGCTATTCTACTTCTTGGAACTAAACTAGATCCAAATTAAATCTTATTTAATAATGTCCATCCTCCTGAACCAGCAATTATTAAAATAATCAAAGCAAAAATGAATAAAAATACTTACTCTAAAGGATTAGAATTCTCAACCTATTTAACAGGTGTTTCAACAGAAGTTTCAATAGGATTATCACAAAATGATATTGATACATTGATATATTTTTAACATAGCATTTTAAGAAATTATTGATATGATGAATTAGTTTAATCTGATGAATCCAAATATAAGGAAAATGATGTTTAATTATATTACATTTCTTTATATTAATCTAATATTCGATTTGTTTAAATTTCTTAATTTACATCTTCATTTTAATTAAAACTATTATCAACACATGTATTTATTGTTTCAATTGATATATTATTATTAGTAAAATAATTTTAAGAACAGGCAACCATATTTGATTTTTTACATTGTTATCCAAAATAAATTGTATAATTAAAATAATGTTATGGTAATACTTCCAATATACATTATTAAAGTAAAAATTCTTTTAAAATTATCTAACCAGATACATAATCAGAATACTCTATGTTAAAATAAATAAATAAATACAGCAATATCGTCCTCCTCCTAAACAATTTTTTTCTGATTGTTTGAATTGATGTCTTGTATAACAACTGTAGCAAGGTAATAGATGTTGGGCAATATTCAATTTTACTATGATCACAATAATTAACGATTTTACATCCATTCTAGTATAATTCATTATAATGTTTTGAAAAATTGTTAAAGAAGTCTAAATAAGAATTGTCTTAAAAATCTAATCCAATTGTTAAATTGACATTCATCTTAACTTCTTTAGATAATGCAATTGCTATAAAAATAAAGTAAAGCATTTATTTTAATAATAATCTGAGTTTAATATAAATGTTGATATAAATTATTATATAATTCTAGTTTTTATTTTTAAGATGATGATTAATGTTATATAAAGATTTAATCTATTTTTTTAATTCATATTAGAATTAAAGTATTCTAAATATGAATTAAGTATTAATAAAATTCTCATTTTTATTTGAAACAATGTAGAATAATAAAATATTGTTATTTAAATAGATTTAATTATGTATATATATGAATTATTTGATATCAATATATATAAGTAACACTAAAATTGGGAATATTTGTTAATTCTTATTTAAAATGCAAATTTAATTTTTAATTTAAATTCACAATAATAAATTATAGACAATTATCTATTTAAGAAATCTTAATAATTTATTTCCTGAAAGTATATTTAAATACATAAATATTAATTTGATATAAAGTAAGTAATTAAATAATATCAATATCAATTTTATAGTTATAAAAAGTGAACAATATTTAAATGTTTCCATCTTTAAGCAACTTCTAATGGAGTTTCTTCTATTCCATTTATTGATACACATATTTAAGGATTGGCTCCTTTCTCGATTAAAATTTTACATATTTCAAGATGTCCTAGTTAAGCTGCTACATATAAAGGTGTTAATCCTTTTTAATTTTTTTTGTTAGCTAAACTAAATTCACTTTTATGATCATAGAAATATCTTGATAAATAATAAGAGTATACTTTTTAGGGTCTTTATCTAATATTTCTTTAATTTTATCTGGTGAATATCCTTTTTCAATAGATGTAAAAAGTGATTATTGCATTTAAATATTTTTTAATGCTTAACTAAGGTTATGACTACTTTCTGATCTATGTTTTGTTTTATTTACAGATTTGTAACCACTAATAGTTAGTTCATCCTTGGATTAATATATTTATAATTACTGGAGAGTTCAATTTCTAAGTTTTTGGATTTTGTAGTAATCTAATTGTAGTAATGGCATGACGAAAACTTCTCCAATATTTTAAGGCATTTCCATCAGAGAATGGTACTCTATTAATTAAGATTAAGAAATACGTATCAGGTTAAATATTCTTAAGTGGAATATTTTATTTCTTATTCATATTATTAAAATGATTAATAGTTATTCATTTAACAAGTATACAGTTATTCAAAACAAAATCAAGAACCAATGATGGATTCTTAAATCTTAAATCAGCTAATTTAACGAAGCAATTTTCAGATATACAAAGCATCACTTGTTTTTTTTTACTAATCTATGTTTATTCCCAATTCTTAATTTCTTTAATTAGACTACTATCTATTCTATTTGCTTATTTAAATTCTCCATCAATTTTATCATATACTAGGATTGTATTGGATGATAATTTAATTGTTGATTTAGAAGATGGTTATGATTGTTCATATGATTTTATAGTTGATTCTGTTAATTTTTTAGTTTATTTAGATTGACAATTACATTATTATTTTGTGGATTTGGAATCTTAAAAATCATCATTATCATCATCAAATTCTACATCAGGAAGATCTAATTCAGTTCCCTTATAGAATAGTCTCTTTTCTTATGAGGGATACAATTTATCAGCAATATGTTTACTGAAAATAAGGTTAAATTTCTCAATTTATTCAGAAGGTAAATTAGCAGCTTGTCTATAGATAAGATTGCCAGTTTTAGTTTCTATGATATAAGTAGGATGAGAACGTTGACTTTCTAATTTAGAAAATACAATTCCAACTATTTTTTATGGATCAGCCATATGAGATTAAATTGAATAACAAATTAGATAGGAATGGAATATTTATAACTAAAAAATATTAACTAAAATTTCACTAAGGTATTATTAATTAATTTATATTCTAAAGAAGAATATAATATCATGAATACATTTGAGAAATTATAATATATTAAATAAATAATTGAGATTGGGATTAATGTTTCAAAATAAGTAAATATATATATTAATTCCATTAGAACAGATTATGACAGAGGTGTGAATACATTTTCACCAGAAGGTCGTCTATTTTAAGTTGAATATGCATTATAAGCAATAAAATTAGGAGCAAGTGCTTTGGCTATAAAAGTGAATGAAGGAGTAGTATTGGCAGGAGAAAGAAAATTGAATTCAACTCTTTTAGAGCCTAAAAGTATTGAAAAGATATATGAAATTGATACACATATTGCATGTACTGCTTCTGGTTTCATTCCTGATGCCAGAACATTAGTTGAACATGCAAGAGTAGAATCTCAAAATCATAAATTCAATTATGGTGAACCTATTAATGTAAGAGCACTTACATAAATTGTATGTGATTTGGCTCTTGATTTTGGAGAGAGTGATTCCAAAAATAAAACAAAAATGTCTAGACCTTATGGAGTAGCATTATTAATTGCTGGTGTATCAGATCATGGTCCATAAATTTATTAAACTGGTATTATATTAAATGATTATAGATCCAACTGGAACAATGATTGAATATTAAGCTAAAGGAATAGGTGCAGCAGATGAAGGAATTTAAAGCATACTTAAAGAATAATATAAATAAGTATAGATAATTAATTAACATAGGATTTAACTTTAGAATAAGCTGAAAGATTGGCTATTTTATGTCTTAAAAATGTTATGGAAGAAAAAGTAATTATATATATTTTATTATATCTTAGATTAATAATACAAATGTTGAATTGGCTGTAATTACAACTGTAGAAAAAAGATATACATAAAGAACACCAGAACAAATATAAAGTCTAATTGACAAAGTTTGAAATATATTATATATATAAATAAGTATAATATTATTCAAATACGTGAAGAATTAATTTTAAGAAGAGTATTGGACTTCTTATTTTTAAAAAAATTATTGAAACTCTAAAAATGATGATCGTCTTCTATATTATATGGTTACGAATAATCGTTGTCATCTTCAAATACAATTTATTTTCTAGGAAAGTATTTCTTAAATAATTGTTTATTAGTTGATGCATATTCAACAGCAACTTTGATTACTTCCTCATTTCTTATACATTATTTCTGTCCTGGAAAACCTCTTTCATTTTAATTATATCATACCCAAATCTAGCTTTATACAATTATAAAAACTATCCAACAGAAGGTTTTGATTCTTCTATTGTCATTTTTTACACTCTAAGATCTTAATTATTATCCCAAATTTCATATTCCTCATCAGCACTCATGTTACTTTCTGATGTTATAACTGATAATAATGATGGTCTTTATTAGCAATTAATACTGGTTTGACGTTAAAATGTATTTCGAGGTTAAACCAAAGGATTTACATCTTAATTAACTTAAGTTTTCAAAGGATAATGAGTTAACTATTTTATTGATCTGTGTTGTGGAGTGTAAGATTTACACTAGATACTGTATTATAAAGATGCTAATAGTTCTCCTGCCTTTTTTAATTTTGATTACCCATTTCTCACTCTAAAACCATTTGCTTATGTTTTTTTCATTATAATATTAATTAGCTATTATATCATTATTATATAATAATCTAAATGATAAACTTAATTAATTGATAAGTATGATAAGTACATTTAATCAACATTATATTTATGATTATAATTAATTTTCAATTAAATTCTTATTGTTATATAGATATATCTATAATCATATTTAAAATATTCAATTTTGTAGTTATCTCTTTTGATTAATATCATTAATTGATTTGACTGAAAAGGAATTTGGGATTTTTACTTATGGTTAATTGGGAGATACAATTTCCATACATGATTCTGTTGATAAATTTAATTCATTTTCTTTTTGCTGTAACCATGACTCATAATATTGGTTTCTCTTCTTTTATGGATTATGAGTAGTTGTAGATTTAATTCTATTTAAGATGGCTTGTTTATGGAATCGATTATTTTATATACCTAAATTATTCATTTAGTTTAATAATAATTCAGTTTAAAAAATTTTAGATGATATTCATTTCATAGAAATTCTTTGTTGCATTATCAAGACAATGAAATAATTTTTTCATATTATAATATGATAATGTATTTTAATATTCTTCGAAGAGTTACATCAAATGCTTTTCTAATCTAACTTAAATTTATGGTTAATAATTAAAATCAAACTGAGTCTCATTTTATTATTTCTCCAAATTCAAAAATAATGTAAAATGTTCATCTTCAATTCCATTTTCTAATTTCATTTGATAAGCCATCCACACTTTTAGTACCTATAAATTATCTGAGTATTCTAAACTAACACTACGATTGATTTTTTTCTCCTTAAAATTAATTATTGTACTATATGATGGTTATTATAGGAATTCATAAAATACACTACTACAAAGTGGAATTCTCATAAACAATTGAAAATTATCTAATATAATAGATGGAATTAATGGTAATCTGATTAATGTACTCTATTATATGGGTATATAAACTATATAATAAAATTCAACCATGCTTCTAAGAATTTAAGAGAAAAGCATAATGATTAAAGAAAATGGTAATTAAATAGGTCCATTTTATATATTACAATCCATTTCATTAATAAAATAACTAATAAACGTATTAATGTATAACCAAATAGCATAGATTAATAATGGTTTATTGACAAATCTTTAAAGTGTATCAAATTAAGGTATAAAAATCTTTTGATTCCAATATATTATAAGTATGCACAATTAGATTTCTAATGTATTATTTATAGCCTCTACTATATTTATATTTTCATATTGAATTAGATCACTTATATGATCTTAATCTTCATATTATGTATTATAATGATATAGTTTAACAATATAATAAATTCCTGACCAAAATGCAGATGTCATAAAGAAAGCTACCATTAAAATACGAAATTAATATCTAAATAGTTTAGTACATAAAAATTTTAAGTATTAAGATGATTTAATATTAAGGTGAAATGCTAAAGTAACTCTAAGTGATTTGAAAACTGTAATATATACAAAGAGTCCTCTAAAGAAATTCTAAAATATCATTATGATTTTGGTTGTATGGAATTTATTTTCACCATCATATACAATTACAAGTAATGTAAGAATAATAAATAAATAAAGTGATAATCCTTGAGATATTGTTAATAGAGGTGATAATTCTTAAATAGGATTCCAATTTCTTAATTAATATGTTTTGAATAGAAGTCCAATAGATATAAAAGTAAGTAGTGTAATAATTACAATAGAAGGAATTAGTATTTGTTCCGATATTTGTAAACATAATTATTACATTTAATATATGTGATTATAATTTGATTCAATATTACATAAAAATCAATATAAAAGTAATATCATCGATAACTTTATTACTTCTTTATACCCAACTAATATGGGCCATTTCTAACAAATGATTACAAGCACTTTCAACATCCATTCTGTCTACATGAGGAGTAACAGAATCTAGAATGTCCTATTAAGAAAGAAATTCAAACACTCCATCTGATCCTAATAAGATAACTCTATCCATTTTTTCAAGAACAAAATTAAATATTTCTGGTTTTTCAATAACTCCTACACTTTTAGCAATTTAATCGCCTATAGATCTTGTCATAGCCAATCCTGGTACATTACCATTATTCCAAACTCTTAATGGTCCACAAGCTTAACCATTTTAATCTTTATAAGGATCAATTCTTCCACCATTATTTATTATACGTTCAGCTTCATCTTAACAATCTGGTTTATGATCTCTTGATAAATTTTTTAGAAACCATTTATTTGTTCTACTTAACATGATTACTCTTGAATCACCAAGGTTTGGACAATATATCTATTATACAATTATTTTTATATATATATACTTTATTATGTAACATAAATAAACCAACTAAAGTAGAACCAGAATATTACTGATCAATAGAAGATTGATTCAATTCTTTAATTACTTAATTAAATATTATGTATATAGTAGCATAAGGACTAAATTAAGAGATTAAATTAATACTTGTTTTCCAATTGATTCTTGAATTTAGTTATGTAAATTGGAAATTATTATTTTAGAAAATTTGAAATATGATGTCCATAAATTCCATGACCATCACAAACAAAAAAGAAATGCATATATGATTTATCACCTATATTTGGAAATACTATAAAAGAATCTTAATTCTATTTATTTGGATTCCCAATTTACATTCCTTGTCTTGTTCTAACTGCAAATTTTAATATGTATTCAAAATTTAAATCTAATCCACATTTTTCTATTTAAAGTGTATTTTTTTATGTAATTAAAGGAGATCGATTCATTTATTTTTTTACAGATCTATTTGATGTTTTTTCATGTAAACTAAATAATGGTTTTCTTTAAGTCAAAGGTGAATATGAATTTTAATATGGATTCAACTTAAATTATGGAGTGATATGATTTGTCAATTTTAATGGCTATAGTTATTGTTTGTATTTATTATTTAATTATTTCATAATTTATTAATTCAGACATCAAATCCAAAGTATCCCAATATATATTGGTTCTTATCTCCTATATTGACTCTACCATCTACTCCATATTAAGTGCCAAAAGAATTCAATGATTTCCATGTTATTTTACCATCAATTTCAGTATGCCAACCTACAATCATAAGAAATCTTATGCCAAATTCTTAATCATCATTCTTTATAGTATATAATCCACTTGAGTATTCATTCAAACTTGATCCATCTTTTATAATAATAAACAATCATAATTACATTTTAATGCCATTACAACAGGTCCTTTATTTATAATATGATCTTGTATGTCTTATGTTGATGTAAGTTCCAAGAGATCTTTTGCTCTTAATTCTGATTTCTTGAAACTTAAATCATCACATCTGATTGGACATTTGTTTTTTAAATTGAAATTGACTGTCTGCTTATATGAAAGACATTTATTAGAACTAAGACCATTCTCAATCAAAAAACTTATTTATTTAGTTAGATCAATTGATACTTCTTAATGTTATTAACAATCTTTAATGATTTAGGTGTAGCAGAACATTTGTCTTCATCCCATTTTGTACATTGAAGTAATTCTTCAGCTGAAAGACGAGGTTACTTTGATGACGATCTAAGACAATTGGTCAAGTACAGAGTCTAAGTGAAGATATGAGCCCAATTCCCTCCTTAGCAAAGACCCTTAAATAGAATTGTATGAATACTTCAAGGAACACTGTCTAATCGCAATTGTCAATCTGGGTTATAAGACTAGAGTGCTTCAAATCTATACGTCACATCATATTCCTTTGGTCGATATGTAAGAAAACTAGGAGTTTACTCAAGACTAACAAGGGTTACTAGGAGGAAAACACAACTAGTTACGACTATTGTGATTGTGGTATATCTATTCATATATATAATAATAATGAGACTGTTAATTATTTTAAATTCCAATGAAGCATAGAGCAGCAGCAAATAGTCTAAATTAAAAGGAGAATGAAAAATGTATAGGCAATCAATTTTCATACAAATCAAGGCCTCCTTTATAATAAGATTTACTTATGAACCTAAAAAATTAACAACTTAGAAATCTTGATGCCATCAGTTAAATACTATAATCCAAAATTTGTAAAGTTGAAAAACGAGATAATGTTGAATACTTTAAATTTGATTTCAAATAACAGAATATCTGTGATAGAGTTAAATTTCTTACAAATTAACCAGATGATGATATTAATAAAACTGAGATATTTAAAGCTCAATATAAAGTTGGTAGTCGTATTGGCTAAGGAGCCTATGCTTCTGTTAGAGTTGCTATTTAAATTGAAACAGGTATTAAAGTGGCTATCAAAATCTATGAGAAATCTAAAATACGTGATTTATAGCGTCGTAAAGGAGTGCGAAGAGAAATTGAAATACTTGAAAAATTAGATCATCCAAATATAGTCAAAATTATTGATACTTTAGAATCAAATAATCATGTTAATATTATAATTGAATATGTAAGTGGAAGTTCACTTCACCATTTTATTCGAAAATAATAGGTATATCTTATATAAATAATATAATTAGGAAAAAAGACTAGATGAAGACACTGCTAAAACTATATTTAAATAAATACTTGATGCAGTTTAATATTGTCATTCCAAAAATATAGCTCATAGAGATCTTAAATTAGAAAACATTTTATTAGAAGGTTAAATACCTAAACTTATTGATTTTGGTTTTTCTACTTCATTTCCTATAGAAAAAAAAGTGAAAATGTTTTGTGGCACCCCTAGTTATATGGCTCCAGAAATTGTCACTAGATAAGAGTATAGAGGAGATAAATCAGATGTTTGGGCCTTAGGAGTTGTCCTATTTACTATGTTACAAGGAGTTTTCCCATTTAAAGGAGATACTGATGCAGAACTCTATTCTAAAATATAATCAGGAGAATTCACTATTATTCATGATATTTCTAAAGAAGCTATTGCATTAATTTATGGAATGTTAACTACTGATCCAGATGAACGACCCACTGTAATTGAATTACTCAATTATCCATGGTTTAAGAAATACAAACTATATACTGAAAATGAGCAACTCAAAAAGAAACATAAATTACCTGAAGATGTAATTGAAGATTTCAATACTATTACTAAAAATATGTCCTATATTACTCCTACAAGTTAAATTAAATAACAATTCTAATTTGATTTCTCTCATCTAAAAAATACTTCAAAACCCAATACTAATAAGGTATAATTATATTCTAAAAATAGGCCATCATTCCTAAACCCTCTTATTTTACTACTACTAATGCATAGACCAAATCTAGAGAACCATAATTTTTCAAAGTGGAAAAAATATTAACTAAAAATGATAGACATACTACAACTCATTCAAAAGAACGACATCCTACATTATCAAAAGAAAGACAATCCTCTTATAGTTTTGAATCCAGTAGAGGATTGTCCCAGAAAAAAAATCCTCATTAGTTAACTGTTCATCCTAGTTTCATACCAAGTGAAAAGAGTTTTCACTCTTTCAAAAGTCCTCAAATGGCTATGAATGATAAACGTTCTTTTAATTTTTTTTATAATTGACTTTTTAATTGTATATTAAATAACCAGAATTCTGATAGAATAAATGAAAACAAGCATGTATATATATTATATTAAGATCAATCTGGAGTAACTCTATATTTATCGGACTATATTCCATATGAATTTTGATTACATTAAAATCCAAACAAATAATTCTATAAATAATTTTAATCAATTACATTTGATAATAAAGAATTAATTGAAAATATATTAGAAGGGTGATTCCAATAATAGGAGGTAGTTGAAATAATAGGATTGATGTATGGTTAAAATGAATTCATATTTTCTATTGATTTAAATTAGAAATAAGGGATAGATATTTAATCCATTTATTATGGAGCAATAGTAAACTTAAATTTTTCAATTTTAATTTTCTTTGTTGTAAATATAGGCTGCTACTTTTATATCTTTTCTATTATTTTTTATTATTAATTTAAGTCTTATTACATTTTAAGAGTTCTCTTATTTTTCATTTTCATAATTTACACCTTTTTTGCCTACTTACTAACCTTTTTTTCTATGTATATATCACTATTTATATATATATATAATTTTACTTTTACTCACTAAGGTAATTCATAATTATTTTAACTTAATCTATTGTTTAGTCATCAACATTGACTCCAACTTCAATTTTTTTATTTTTTCGAATTAACTATTTAAAAAGAGCCTTCATCTAATCATCAATTTTTAATATTTTATCATTATCTTCATCATGATGACAATAAATGCTTGAAATCAAGAGAGGCTGAATTTTTGCAATGATTATGGAGCCTAATTGATAATAATAAATACTTTCAGTTGTTTTATAAGCAACTTTTATCAATCGACGTATAATTTTCTTGACATGAGCATAAAACTTATTCTTAATGTCTTAATCTGTTCTATTATTTAATTATTCAGCTATATATGTCTAAAATAAGTTTCAAATTATTACCCATTTATTTCCATAATGTTCAATCAACTCAAAAAGCTAATCTATTTCCTTATCTGTTAAATCAGCTTTATTATAACTGTTATCAAGATGATTTGAAAATCTTTCTCGACAAGCCTTGGTGTCCCGATTAAACCCATGTTATTTTAAAGTTTAAGAGATTTTCTTCCATGCTAACCTTTCATTTTAGAATTTTTTTACTAATTTTCTTAAAAGCTTGTCTTCCTTCTAATAATACATAACAATTACTTGGATTATCCAAGGCTTTCTTTTCTTTTTAGTTTCTGAAGGGTAATGGTTCACCATATTAATATAATTTAAAAATATAACAATTCTTAGAATATTTATATGTATACTTAAACATAAAGTTTTGATATCTACAATAAATACAAAAGTAATGAAATTAAATAGTAATTCAATTAGATGAAAATTTAATGTTAAATTTTCTCAATTTCCTTCAAAATTGTATTGAAAAATTTCTAATATGTAAAAAATGGAAGTTTCAAATATTAATTATGTTTATATTTACATATTGTAAATTTTGAATTGTCAATTAATAATTTCTTGTTTCAAACACTAATCAAATTTATATTGACTTTAAAATAACAGATAATGAAGAATTAAATAAATTAGTTGAGTTTATTTGATGTATATAAAATATGATCATTATTTTACATATCTTGAGTACTGAATTAAATATGTATCTATCTTTAATTAAAAGTACTTTCTTTCTTATGCAAAATTATTAATAAGAAATTTATTTTATAAAGATTAATTGGTTGTGGTTATTATATTAATATTTTAATAAAGAATATTTATAAAACTCATTCATGGCAAATCGATGTTAATTTGAAAACTCCAACGATATTGGTGTTTTTTCTAAACTTACAAATGCATATTGTCTTGTTGCACTTGGAGGAAGTGAAAATTTCTATTCTGTGTTTGAATCTGAACTTGGATTAAGTATGCCTGTCATCCATTGTTCAATTGGAGGCACAAGAATTATTGGAAGATTGACAGCAGGTATATTATATTTATTAAATGTAAATAGGAAATAAAAATGGATTATTGGTACCTAATACATGTACTGATTAAGAATTAAAATAAATTAGAAATTCATTACCAGATGAAGTTAAAGTAATTATATAAATAAAAAATTATAGGTTAAAAGAGTTGAAGAGAAATTATCTGCATTAGGTAATTGTGTGGCTTGTAATGATTATGTTGCTTTGATACATTCTGATTTAGATAAAGAGACAGAGGAAATCATTGCAGATACTTTAGGAGTTGAAGTATTTAGAACTACTGTAGCATAATAAGTATTGGTTGGAACTTATTGTTGTTTTAATAATTAAGGAGGATTAGTACATCCATTAACAACAGTAGAAGAATTAGATGAATTAGCTAATCTATTATAAATACCATTATGTGCTGGTACTGTAAACAGAGGTAGTGATATCATAGCATCTGGTCTTGTTGTTAATGATGTTGCTGCATTTTGTGGTATTAATAGAATTTAAATTTTATAGGTTTGGATACAACATCTACAGAAATCACAGTGATTGAGAAAATTTTCAAATTGTAAGATAAAAATAAGTAAAGTATGGAAGTGTAAATTCGTTAAGATATGATGTAAGAATTGGAATGATCTAATAATTATATTGATTAATATTATGTATATCATTTAATTTCAATATTATCAGTTGAATCCTATTCATTATTTATCATACTATGATATTTATTGAATTCAGATCTGATGTATTCTACCTTTTAATTTAATTCACTATAATTTTCAGTTTCATCTTTTTTCATTTCAGCCTGAAAATGCTATGCCATATTACATAAAGCCAATATATCTTATAGATATTATTATTAACTTTTTTTCTTTTAAAATACAGATTTGTTATATGCTTAAGGAGAACATTAAACCTAAGGAAAGAAAATAAAACTTTAATTTTATCTTTAAGGAGAATTTATTTTATATATCTTATCTTAAGAATAAGAATTTTTGTGAAGCTTTTAAAATTTATTATTATTGGGTTTTGGTTATTCATCTTAATGAATTCCAATTTTTTTATAGTATTTTTTAAATCTAACATAGAATGGATCCATTTTAATTCCTAAAGGTTTTGGAGATGGATTCATCTATTCAACAGGGGATTGTTATGGAGATTTAATATCTTCAATCCTTAAATCTATTGATTATCTTCGAGTCAAAAATTTATTATTATTTTTTATTTATTTTTGTGGACTAGGATAGAGTTCAATTGATGATCGTCTTAAAAATTATGTTTCATTTGGTTTTCCTAAACTTATTCTTGATTTTTCTAAAATGTTCCTACAATTCTTTGATAAAATGCTCCATTTTTCTTCTTTTATTTCATCTAATTATACTGGAGGCTCTAAGTCCATCTTTTAAAATGTCTTTAAATAAGTAAGTTATGGTTTAGAGTATGGATGATGATATTCGACATTATGAAGTGGAGTTTGTAATTTTTAATTATTCTTGGTCTTCATCATATATTTAACAACTCCTGGAGCTAAATCTGCTTTAATAGTTTTTATTTTGATATCTAATTTTTCCCTTCTTAACTAATCAATTAATCATAAATACTTATTCAGGACTCTTATGTATCTAAGTGTTATCAAAGATTAATTACATAATTTAATAATATATGTGTTAAATAATAAATGTTTAATTTTCAACTGGTCATAGTACAATTTATTCATCTTTAAGATTAAATACATATTTTTAAGCATACAAATGGATATATGAATGTAATTGCAATAAATTAGCTAATTGATTTAGAATCATATAAAAATATTAAATCTAATATTAAGTTCAAATTCTTTTAATGGGTAATCTTTTTTTATTGTATTTTATAGGTTGATTTTATATTAGATTTTGTATTTAATTTGAAATGAACTCTTATTATAATTTAAGACTTGATTATTTAAATACTTTTATCAGAAAAGACCAAATCAATTATTATAATAATTATAATTCCTATTAATTTCTGATAAAAATGTAGAATCTATATTAATCTTTTAATCAAAAGAAAATTATTATTTTTATATTAATTTGAGATATTTAAACAAAAATTATAATTCGATGCATTTTTAAAAATATACCAATCATAAATAGTAGAATAATGATGGAGTTAATTTACATTAAGATTTTAATATGATGTTATTATGGAAATTGATTTATCATATTCCAATTTGAAGTACACACTTACATTTTAGTAATAACCTATAGAATGTACAATATTCCATTTTCAATAAATTAAATTGAGATTTTAGCAGATTATAATAAATAAATTCATACGTAGTTAGTATAGAGATTTTAAAAAAATAATATACAGGTAAATGAATATTTCTGAGGCTAGAACAGTTGGTTTATCACCTCCTCAAAAATTCTCGAAATTAAACCAATCCTAATAATTAATTCCTGAAGAATGTCTTCCTCCAACATTTTAAAGTCTCAATCCTTCTCCAAGAAGAGATGTTTATAAAAAAGGAATCAAGAAAACTTATAAAATGAAAGTAACTGATATTACTAATTCACATCTTAGGATAATGAGAGAAAGAAGATTGTATGGTGTAATATATATGTAAATGAAATGGATCCAATCTAATTGGCTAGGTCAAAAAAAGGAAGTATGAAAATTAAATTACTTATTTTAGAGTAATGTCGTATTTGTTCAATGGAAGAAGAAACATCAAGATTCATATATCCATGTATGTGTAGTGGTACAGCAAAATATGTACATGAAGAATGCTTTAAAAATTGGATTCTTTTAAAGAATGGTGTTGAAAAGGTTTATAAAAATGATGTAAAACAATCTATTATTATAATACATCAGATTAAATGTGAGGTTTGCTAACATAAGATATCAATGAAAGTTCATTTCTAAGAAGAAGTACATTCAGCCATAATTTAAGAAGTGCCTAAACATTAAAAAGCATGTTGGCTTATATTAATCTTTATAATTTTATTATAAATAGCAGGAGCTATCATATTGGGAGTCTTAGTTGGCTTTTCAAATGTTGGATTAGCTGCAGCTATTACTTTATTGGGAGTAATTTCAATTGTGTTGATAATTTATCTTATTGCTAAAGTTATGCACAGTTTAACTATTGAAACTATTGATTAATGGGTATTTCAGAATTACCAAAAAGAATTTAATGCTGACAAAATAGGAAGTGTTATAAATATACCATAATAACCTGTATAAAATACAAGTCCAAGAAGTCCTAGATAAAGAAGAAAATCATGTGTTCCTTAATTCTCTGGACTTTAAATGATTTAATTAGACTAATACCCTTAAGATGCTTGAACATAAAACATAAGACTATTTAAACTATATAAATGTGTACTCATCATTTTATAATAATATCAAAGATATTCTATATTGTCTAAGTTGATTTTTGCATTAAAAATTTTGTCATTAATACATTATATATAAGAATTAATATCATTATATTCAATTTTGAATCAGTCATTATCATTTATAGGATATCTTTTTTGTCTATCATAATAAATTTTGATATATTCCTTTTTCTTCTCAATTAATTTATTTATAAAATCTAATATTTGTTTGTTTTTAATAAAAAGTAATTAATGTTAAATGTTTTTAAAACTATTTCATCATATATATTGTGACATTATTAGAGTATTTAAAAATAATTGATAGATATTTTTATTTGAATTTATAATGAGTATTTTAATATTGATTCTTATATAATTCATATAATTCAAATTATTTCACAAAATGGAAATGATAATTTTAATATAATAGTTATAATACAATATCAGATTTTATAGATTAAATTTGAATGGATTGAGAGTTGTAAATTAATAATATTAAAGAGTTTAATTCATTTTTTAATTATTTTAATTACAATAATAATTATCATCTGATTATAATTCAAATGAATTGTTATTCAAGATTACCTCATTCTATTATTATACACAATAACTATATAGTATAAAATAGATATAGTCCATTTTTTTATGCTTAACTTAATCAATAATCATTTTGTTACTGATATGATTTACTATAAATAACTCAACACATTGAATAATTAGTGGTGACTATTATTAAAGAATTTAATTTGAATAATTTGTAAAAAAAAAATCATTAAAAATTTAAAAATGTCTTAAAATCCTACATAAAAAAAAGGACTAAAGCTTAGTGCTCCTTTTGAGCCAACAGCTAATCCAACATATACATAATCTTAATACTCTCAACCACTACCATATTAATACGAATCAAAATTCTACTAGCCGCCTTATGTCCATC